AAGGAGCGTATGGCTGATGACCTGAGGATCCCCCATAGCCCTACAAAAGGCTGGGCAGAGGGGCAGCCCACCCTCAGAAGCAACTGCAAGCAACAAGAGCCAAAGAAGCCATCATCCCAGCGACTGGACAACTATCACTGCGGATTCTTCAACTACCAGCGTTGATGCTTTTCTCAAAAGATAAACTATTAATGCAGTCCGCTATTTAAACAACCTGGATCCTGGCCAACAGCTTCCAAAGAAAAATCTGTAGACCACAACAAGCATCCAGGAAGAGCAGAGCCTAAATAGGAGGCCTCCAAAACCATTCATTTTCTGTCTAGGCAACAGTGGTTACCATCATTCAGAAACTTTTTAAAGATTTCAGACGTGGAAGTATTCGGCATTCTGGAGAAAAATGGGAGGCCCCTCACTGGAAGGGATGCTCCTCCAGGCACTGGCCACCCTGGCTGCTTAGCCTCTTCATCCATACGTGGAGATCAAGGCTGAGACTCAGGTTGCCCTGGAAGGCATTTGTCCCAGGAGTCACGTCCACGTCTTCTGGCTGAGGCAGGAGAAGAAAACTGTTTTCCATGGAAAAGGAAGCTGGACGACCAACCAGCCTTAGTTGGAAAACTGCCCTCCCCCATCTGAGACCCCAGAAATCCAAACTGCAGAAGGAAATTGCAAGCCTCCTGCCCCCCACTCCAGTCCATGCAAAGGGGAAATGCTCAGATGCCTACAGGAAGGGAAGCACTCTTTGGCGTTGTTCGCCATTGGGAAGACATTTGGATGCTTCCACGGGTCTTGGTGAATGTGGTAACTCGGAAAGGAAGGGGAAATCTGATGAGCCTCCCTGCAAGGCACTTCCTGCCCTGCAGTCCATCAGCAACAAAAGAGGGCAAGGAGCAAAGATCTGTAGCAGCTGAAAATGTCTCCCCTGCACACTCAGGTGGAAGAAGAAGAAGAGAAAGTGACAGTGGAATCCAGTGGTGAACAAAACCCAAAGCTTCCTCTGCTCTCTCCACACATCACGGCTGATGCTCATAGTTCCTCTGGACTCTACTGAGCTAGAGAATTCCTATGCAGCTGGTTTATCGCCTCCCCAATGGGCTAAGCAGTGGCAAATTACAGGACATTATAATGGTAAAAGCAAGGCCCCCAAAATTCTGCAGAGGAGGAAGCTACAACTGGATATTCCCCCAGAAAACACCTCTTTTATGTCCTGGTTAAAGACCCCTTTCCCATTTTGTTTCTGGCTATCTCAAGAGTCAGGGATTTGCAGAAAATGGCTGTCTACACAGAACTGGATTCACATCCCAGAGACTTCCCAGGGCTGCCTGACAAAGTACGCATGAGCCAAATCTTTCCACCCATCCCTCCCACCACAACAGCTGTCTGTCTGTCTGTCTCTCTCTCTCTCTCTCTCTCTCTCTCTCAGCATTCCTCCCCCTTCCTCAGCTGGCTGTTCTTCCACTTTGCAGGAAGGAGGTGCACCGAATTGGGCAACATACATGAGCCAATCAACAAAATAACTGAGCTACGCAAGCCACGAAAGGGTGCCCAGGAAGGCAGAGGGACTCTGTTTCAAGCCACATCGGATTAAAAGCTTGCTATTCTCTGCTCTGCTCCTGATGGGCGTAGTGTGGCAAGGCTGCAATTAAAGGAAAACATGCACAATGGGGAAGCAGGATTCTAAGTTTGCTTCCAGCTCCATGGGCAGGGCTTACTGACACCACACACCTCCTGCTGGGAAGCCCCTTCTTGCCACAGCCGCTTTCTGGAGAGAGCGGGAAGCACATTTTCCCAAAGGCCCCTGCTCAGTAACACACGGACTCTGACACACAAACACACAGGCTCTGGGGTGAATCACAGCCATTCTGAGGGAGGCCTTCAGGGCAGTTCTGACAAGAGAGTTCGAAGGGAGGGTCAGCACCTGATCCCAGGAACTTCCCTGAGTTCTTCCAGAGATCGACTCAAAGGTCGTTTTGGTATCCAGATGGTGGGACAGAAGCTGGTTCAGGAACCTGGGGGTGTCCACCTCGAGGTAAAGAAGGCAAATCAACTGGGGTCGCAGATGGCTCTCCATGTGGGCTGCCCTGCTCCACCCTCAGGTTCCTGACCTTGGTAGGATGCTCCTGTCCCTCGAGCCGGAGTTGTGGGGGTCCCACCCTCTGTTCCTCACACACACACCTCCCTAGACAAGCTTAAGCGTGGACATGCCTACCTTTGGCCACTTGGGGTTCAGAAGCTGGGCCTTGTTGGCATCGTCCAGAGCTCTGTCGTACTGCTGGATCTTCATGTACGCTGCAGAGCGGTTGCTGTAGAGGATGCAGTTCTGGGGATCGACCCCCAAGGCTTCGCCATAGAGCAGGATGGCTCTATGATAGTCCCCTGCGTGGCAAGCCTGGTTGCTCTGTCGTACCTTCTCCACAAACTCAGCCTTGCTCAGGGCAGGCCCGCTGGACCCCTCATCCTCAAGGCTTTTTGACCCAAACAGAGTCATCTGGCAAGGGGAAAGGGGCATTCACTTAGAGACTGTGCTATTGGCAAACGCACAGAAGCCATGGGATGCTGCCTCTGCCCTGGAGCAGCCGTCTCCCTTTTGGGTTTCCCTTGGAGCTAACTTCTCCAAACGGGGCACTCGGAGTTATAAGCTGCCCACCACTAGACCAGAGTCCTTCAGGGAATCGCTCCCTCATGCCCCAAAGAGAGAAGCTTATTTCTTGACTTGAAAGCTCAGATCCGCCCCTCATTCTCTCTGTGTGGGAAGGTCTCTCACAGCAGGAAGAGAGCTGATCTCTCAGCCATCCAAGGCCTGAAGCCTACCCACCCCACACCCCCTAGGCAGTTCCCCTGGGTCTTTTCCCCTGGTGTTCCTTGGATGAAGGGAAAGCTGTAATATGGCTTTGTTCTCCTCCCTCTTTCTGCACAACGATCTTGGACAGGAGGAGCAACAACTTCCTGAGTGAAACTAGTAAGGTAACTAGGATGAAGAGAAGAAAAATTCCTTCTTTATCTTTTGTTGAATTTTTAATCCCTCCAGATTACATAGACAAAAGGGCTGATAGCGGGATTTCCTGGGAGAGCTGTTTAAGACAGGCTAGAGTAGCAATAAAACACTATCCGGAGAGCATCACCCCAGTTGTGAAATGACAACTCGATTTCACTCAGGGTTGAATAAGGTCATTTAGACTGAGCTCTTCAGCTCTGCAAGCTTCCACCTCCTCATCACACCTTGGGAGAAAAGAGCGTTTCCTCAATCAATTCAGCACTGGGGCTCCCCAAATATGAGTTGGAAGGAAAATATATCTGTTGCACGGGGGCTTCTGTGGCAACAAGCTCCCCAAGGGCCAGGCGGCCCTCCAAGCGACCTGAAGTCGGGCAGGGAGCAGGTTCTGCAAGAGAGGCCGCTGAGGCTGCTCCTCGGCAAGCGGGTGGGCGAGGCGGCGCTGCTTCTGCAGCCAAAGGGGACGTTTCAGGCCTTCCAGAGCCCACCGAGACAGTGGGCGGGACAGCCTTGCTTACCCAGGATTTGGGCACAGCGAAGGGGGGGGCAGAGGGATCGAGGGCAGCCCGCCGCCCCTCGGAGCCCAACGCCCTCGGCTCCAAGCAGCCGCGGCCGAGAAAGGCCGATGCGGGGTCCGGCCGAAGCGGCTGCATGCGGCAGCTCTCCGCGCCCGCCCCCGGGGCCTTCTTGGCGGACAAGCCTTTCCTCCTTCGGGCAGACTTCGCACCTGGCTGCGCAAACCAACCGGCCAAGTCAAGCCGACTAGGGGACGCCGCCGCCGGGAAGCGCCGCCAGACCCCGGCGCCTTCCCCGCTCGCGGGCCTCCGGCTCCAGCTTTCGGGGGTCGCCGCCGGGCTGCCTGCCTTCTTGCCTGGCCGCGCCAGAAGGGGGGCCGAGCTGCCGGTGCCCGCGGGCCGGATCTCGCGCGCCCTGTTCGGGGCGAGCAGCCCTAGGCCGGTCCCGCGCCGCGGCTCACCCGGGCGAGTGGCGGCTCTCCCGAGCCTGCTGCTTCTCCAACGCCGCCTCCACCTCGCCGCCGCCACGCGCTGCGAGCCGCCTCCTGCCGCTGCATGGCCCTCAGCGCCGCCGGCCCCCAGCCGACCCCCGCGCCATTTTCGGGTCGGGCCGCCGCTTGGAGGGGGAGCCGCCTTGCGCCGCGCAGGATAGCCAGGCAGGACCACCCCCGCCCCGCCCCCTCCCTCCCTCCCAACTCCTGGCGGAGTTTTCCCCAAGTTGAAGGGAGCCCTCCCAGCTCGGCTGCCAGGGAAGGGGCGGTCCACGGTGCCAGCCCCCGCCCGCGCCGGGGGTCCGGAGGACTCAGCAGGTCGCTTGGCTGAGCTGCGCAGCCCAGGAATGCAAGCAAGGCGCAGCTGGTTCTCAAGTTTTATTACAGTTTTTAATATCAAAAAAGGGGCTTGAGGCAGTCATGAAGGCTCTGGCTGCACTTTCTGCCTCTTGGAAGGTCCCGCCTCCTCGTCCTCTTCGTCTCTTTTTCTGCCTGGAGGCGCCTGGAAAGGGGTGGAAGCCACGTCAGTCACTTCTTGCAGAGCAACCCCCCTCTTTTGCTGGTCAGAGGCTGGTGCAAGCCCCATGTCCAGGAACAAGAGCTGTGGCCCAAGAGATGCCCAAGAACAGCTGCCCCCGAGCGATCCACATCTCCGTGCCCTCAGTTTCATTGTTTCAGCTCTGCTGCATGTGGTGTGATGGCCAGGACAGTTAGCTCTTTGTGGGACTGGAGACTGAGCCAAAGGGGATGTTAAGTCCTCAGCCAAGCAGAGCCCCCGAAAGGCCTTCCGATGTTCAAACACAACATGGAGGACAGAACAAAGCCTGCGTTGGGCCTGTGTCCCCCAGCACTAGAAAACATTTTAGCCCACACTCAATGGCACACATGGGCACCAGACGTGGACTTTTAGTGTTATTTGGTAAGCCAGGAGCTGCTGGGTCCCTTTTTCAAGAACAAAAGCAAAGGCCAGGAATACCTACCGAAGTCAGAGGCTCAGGCTTAACTCTCACGTCCTGTGTTTGAGCAAGTAACTGTTGAAAAGTATGCCTCATATGTTCATCCTAGGAGGAACACATGTGAACGCAGATTTAAGGGAAGCCCTGGGACAGTCGACATGCACATTGGCCAATCAATAATGCTGAATGATATGACAGGAGACCCTTTCTGGCTAAGTGGCGTTCTACAGAGCACAGCAAAGAAGAGAAAAGGCCACAGAAGGCCACAGAAGGAAAGGAAGCCTGACTCTTGCTTGGCTTCCTAGATCTGGCTCACTGCTACCTCTCTTCACCTCTGGGCCAGAATTTGACAAAACAGGGCTCAGGCACACTCCCTGCCTCATTCTTCTTCCTGCGGAACCACCCCACTCCTTCTTGTCCTCCAATCTCCCCTAGAGGAAATTCCTCAGCAAGCAGGCAGATCCCTCACAAACGGGCAAGCCACCTTGGTCCCTACCTGCAGCCAGGAATGCTCCAAGGCCTCTTCTATTTTCAAGCGCCTGGTGGGGTCCACAACTAGCAACTTCTGAACCAGGTCAAAAGCTGCAACAAGGAAACAACAGGCTGTTAAAATCAGGGGAACTCCACCTTCCTATGGTGCATAGACGCTGCTGATGGAGGCTTTCCTTGCCCTATGGCATCCCTGCATCGCTACCCTCTCTCCTGTTGGAACTGTGATAGCAACTGAGAACTTAACCCCCTCGCCCAAACAATGCCATCTATCAGAACCTAGAAAGGCCATCTTGCCCTCTGGAAGAAGCAGCTCCACAGAGGTCTGTAGGGCTCCAACCCCGATGAATGTCTTTGAATGCCTGGCTGAGCTCCCAGGCCATGTGGTTGGGCTTTGGGACTTGTTTATGTGGGGTTTTTTCTTTTGGATGCATATGTTATGTTTCAACTTTATTATTTGCTTTTAATAAGTGTAAATTGTCCAGAGTCATTTGGCCTCCAAATTGCATAGATAAATAACCACACCATAAGTAACCTTCTGTTAACATGAGCCCAACATGAGAGAGAAAGGATCGAGGATCCCCATCAACAACACCTCTACTTCTTCTCCTCACCTTCCTGTACCATCTAAACATGGAAGAGTCTCTCTCTCTCTCTCTCTCGCTCTCTCCTAACCCGGGTGAAGATATTGTCTTTTACCCTGGAGTGTCTCCAAGTGCAGCTCCTGCTAATCTGTCGCCACTGACAGAGCAGGCTGCAGGAGGGGCACTCTGGCTCTTCCTTCGCCATTCTGCTCCATCTCCCCAGTGCCTTTAGAGGCCTTCACCGGAGACGAGACTTCCCCATCTTGGTACCTTCTCAAGGTAACAGTACTAATCAGTGGCAATGTCTAAAGTTCCCACTCAGGTCTCTTCAGGACAGGGAGGCCTGGGTGCCTCTGCAGGGCCCTTCCTTGGAGGTTCACTCGGAATGAGATTCCAAGGTTGGGAAGGCTGCAAACTTTTGGGCAAGTTCAAAAGTTAAGACAAAGGTATGCTGATTGACTGGTGCCCCAGAAGCAATCAACCCACTCTCTCCCCACATATTCCCCGTCTCTGTGTCCTCCCAGTTCCTTGAGAAGCACTGCCATACCATCTCTGGACACATCTTTCCATACTTCTTCAACGAAACAGTAGTTGCCGCTGGTGATCTGCTGTGTCAGAGAGAGACAGGCACTTTTCTTGGAGAAAGGTGGGTAGCCAGAAAGGCTGAACAAAAAGAAGAACAGAAAAGTCCTGCTTTACTCCTTTTATAACGGGACAACTGAAGCTCATAGTCCTCAAAGCCGTCTTTGGCCAGGTTTTGCATCTCTGTTGTCACATGAAATATGACAACTGTAGTGTAAATCCTAAAAAAGGTGCATTGCTTTTTAAAACAATCTTTCCCAAACAGGTCTTAAAATTCCACCACTCCTCAAACCGTGGCCCTCATCAGAATGTGCAGGGTGGGTTTTGGCCATGAAAGATGGCTCCTCCAGCATAGCTAAGTTCTACATTAGCTTGCAATGCCAAAGAGATCTGTACTCTGGTCTGGGGCTGCAATCCCCGGGGGAGGGTGGGGTGGAGGGTGTAGGCTCACCCAGACATTATTCCAGTCTCACTGACTTTGCACCAAGGTACAGGATTAGTTCTGGTGAAGGATGGGAGGTGAAGCTGAGTATTTTACCAGCCATACAAAACTTTTTTACCACATAAAGAGAATCACTCCAAGACTCCAGCAGTCCACAGACCGTCCATATCCAGCTGTTCCAGCAAAATTTAGAATCTCTGGAGCTAGGTAGTCAGGAGTGCCACATAATGTTTGCATAAGAGAAGTTTCTCCAATGATCTTGGATTGCCCAAAATCTGTAATCTTTAAAAAAGAAAGTTGAGAACAGTTGAAATAAAACTTTTTCTTGTGCCTGTTCAATCTCATGAGAAATGTACATCTTACTTTGTCCTCTTACTTGATATAAAAGGAATTTGCATAGAGGGGAAGGCAGTTGCTTACTTACCTTGACAAGGCAGTTCTCTTCCCTAGATGATAAAAGCACATTCTCCAATTTCAAATCCCGATGAATTATGCCATGTTTGTGAAGGTACTTTGCAGAATACCAAAAAGGGGAAGAACCATAGAATAAATAGACTTACAAAAAAATGAAAGACAGGAGTCTAGTAGCCCCTTTTCAAACTGACATGGTTTACTTTTAAGGCATAAGCTTTGGTGGTCTGCTGATTACTATTCACTGCTATTCACAGCTCTGTTTAACTTCTGTTTGTGCTTTAAGCCATAAATTACCTATCTGACAGCTCCCCAGGGGTTAAACCCCCCCCATTCCTTCTTGATGTAATGCAGGGGTATCAAACTCACGGTCCATGGGCCAGATGCATCACGTGCCGCCCATGCCCACCCCCAGTTTAGCGAAGAGGGGAAAAGTGATACATCATGTGATGTGACATTGCGAGTTTGACATCCTTGATTGTAATGCAAAGCATAAACCCACCTCTTAACCGCAAACCCAGCAAAGATGCCATAGAAAATACTGCAGCTGAGCCACCAGCCAAACTCCCAGTTCATATTGTCACAATTACCTGCACAGCCAACAACATCTGGTAAAAATAAAGTTTGCAAGTTTTTTCACTGAGCCGTGCTGGTCGCTGAACCTTGTCAAACAGTTCCCCACCTTCCATCCTGAAAAGATTAGAGGGAAGGTGAAGGGCTTTGTTTTCTTCCTGAGAAGCACATGTCAAGGTCATGCACAGAGACCCAAAGCCAACCAGGAAAGGTAGGCTCTTCAGGTTGAAATTAGAAGAATTTACAGATGACCCTAGCTGACCTGACCTGTTTCCTGGCTTGCTGGACCTCAGAGTTGTTTCAGTCACAAGCATTTGCGATCAAGGGATTGTTCATCAAACACCTCACCTGGACCTCCAAAATCAGGTGCCAAGGTAATAAGCCTTCAAGCAGCACTTGGACAAAGACGGAGATGGGCTCTACTTCCTATAGTTAATTGGGCCTTGAGATGCTATTCAGTTCTTTTAGAGATACGTTTTCTTTCTTTTCCTTCACCCTTGCTAGCTCATCTTCTAAATATTGCTGTTTTCTGGGAATCCCGAACGCTCATTTGAATTGCAATGGGTCACAGACAGAAACCCAGAACTACAACTTACAATTCCAACACAATGTAAAAGTCTTTTCCTTCAAAGAAATCTATTATCTTGATTAGGCAAGGCTGCAGAGAAAAAGAAAGACAATATTCAGAAGTGACTCTTGCAAAAAGCATTTAAAACAGCAATTTTGTTTTGCTTTTAAAAAGAGGGATTGTGAATCCATTCGTACAGATACGTGTCATCGGATTAAGTACAGTATGCTCTAAAAAAAGAACATCAGAGTCTTTTTCAAACAAATAAACTTCTCCAGAAACCTTACCAGTAACTTAGTTCCAATCAAAAGAGAAGAAGAGCAAAACCAGTTCAGAATATGCTATTCGCTTTGAAGTGTCACTCACGTGGTTGATCCTCTTCAAGATCCCCACTTCTGTCTCAATGTTAAAGGGCTTGTTCTGCTGTTAAACAATGGAGCATCAAAATGTAAAGTCACCCTTGCAGTTTGAACTCATCTCTTTAAATGGAAACAATTTCAAAACAAAACAGGGCCCAAGATAGTGATAAGAGTGGCTGCTGTAATGAAGCAAAAATCAGAGGAAAAGAAATAAAAATGCCTGGGCTGAACTGAAAATTATAAGGGAGACAGTCAGACAAAGCAGCTCTTGTAGAAAAGCGCTTGGCTTTAAAAAGTGGGAACAGAAGCCGATAAATGAAGCTTATTTGTGCAGCAAAGCTGTTACCATCCCTTTTCTACAGGACCGTACCCATCCATTGAGTGGTGGGGGTGGTGGCTCTGGGGCAGTTTGAGAGCTTGGTTGAAAAATTATGCATTTAGATAAATGTTTTAAGTCCCTTGGTCTTACAAAGGGGTTCCCTCAAGGCGGAGGGTGAGGGGTTTGAGCAAGATAACAGACCAGTCAACATTTTCTTCCTGAATCAACCTCTAGTGAAAAACACACATAGAGTAAAGGCATGGAGGCTACACAGAGTCCACAAACACCCAGCCAGATAATGCACAAATATGTTGCATCAACAGATAAGGAGCAGCTATATAATCAGGGAAGCAATACTCCAGGATACAAACAAAATGGAAAGACTTACTGTTTCTGGCAAAACGTCAGTCATAAACTTTGATTTCTTTATGATTTTTATGGCAACTTTCCTATGGGTGTCCCTTTCAAAGGCCAACTTCACCTCTCCACAGGCCCCACTAACAGAAATAGAAGGAAATGTTGCTGTGGTGCCTAGCAGTCTTGTTCTTACTCATGGGGAGACCCATGATGAAACCAACCTGCCCCCCAAGAAAGGGATCTTTCCCACCAACCTGCCCAGCCTCTTTGAGACGATGTATTTCTTCTGCATTTCCTTGGGGTATTCCAGCTGATGCCCGGCATCCAGGTCAAAGAACATAAATACTGGGAAAGCAGCAGAGAGGGCACTCCTGTTACAAATGGCACAATGCCCCTTTGCCCAACCCAATCATCGCCATGCCACACCGCAGAGGTGGCTGAACATGGACAATGACTAAAGGGCAAGGCTATCTTCAGGGCCCGAGAAAACCAGCAAATGCAGAAATATTCAAGGCAAATTGTGGCCATCTGGTAGGAGCTTTTGCCCCCAAATATCTAACCGTGGGTCTACTTCATACCCTCACCCCTTTTCCTTAAAGCTAAATACTATCTGAAGCCTTGAGTATCTTGTCAGAACTTCCTCCTGCTCTGCTTAGACAGGCATTTGGAAGTGTAGTTGGCAGGGAGCAATTTGTGTGGGTGGGAGGGAGCAGAGCAGTTTGTAACCCCTGGTGCCCAGGGATCCTGCCCCAGACACTTAGACTGCATTCCCTGCGCTGGATCACCTGAAGGGGGAATGGGAAGAGCCAGGAGGTGATCTTGCAGAGGCCCTGCCTCAATCACTTTGGTTGGTAGGGTAGGGCTTGGCACACTCTCTGCAGGGTTCCAGCCTGGGGTGCCCGCGGCATGCATTTATGTTTAGGTTGCATTGTTTGGGGGCAGAGTGGGATGGGTGTCCAGCCCTGGGCATGTGAGGTGTGCCAGGTGAGTTTAAGACGGCTTCCGAGTTTGCTCCGGCTCTGCTGCTCCAGAGAACAAATGTTGAAAGGGGTGCTGTGTACCTGTCACAAAAGTAGGTTTTCCGTGCTTCCTGCTTTTGGGCATGCCAAGCAAGCTCTGCCTACCTTTGTTGTGAGGCAGAGAAAGGGCAATTTTGGCCACGTGGGCCAGAGGAATCTTCTTGCCCTTGCCCACCAGGTGGTCATTGACAAAGGTCCCATTTGCACTTTGGTCTTCCAGGTAAGTCACAAAGCAGCCCCGAGGCCCCGGTTCCTTAGCAGAAGAGCAAACTTCGGTCAGCTCCCATCGACAGGAGGCAGCCGGCAGACCCAGCGCCCCAAGGGGGCAGCCCCCCACCAAGCCCAGGGGCTTACTCTAAAAATGCGGAAATGCTTTTTGCTGTACTGCCGGTAGGTTTCGTTCCTGGGCAGATCCAGCCCGGAAAAGCTGTAGTCGCAGCCGGGATCGCGGCCAAACCAGTACTCGTTCTTCAAGCAGACTGAGCGGGAAGAAGAAGAGCGGCTCCGCTCAGCCCGGGCAGAAGAGGGACACGAGGCGGCTCGCCCAAGTCAAGAGATCCGTCCCGAGCCGCCTGCTCCCGCCCAGCCTTCCCTGCAGCCGCGCCAAAGCCCCCGGGCCGGCTACGCACCGCAGTCGGCAAAGCCCCCGGCCAGGCCGAAGAGCTGTCCCCACGGCCGAGGCGCCTCCGCCGCCTCCGCCTCCTGCTCCTCGGGGATGGCGGGCAGGTCGTGCGCGGGGAGGGTCTCCAGGGAGCTGAGCGTGCCCGAGGAAGAGCTGTTCAAGGAGCCTGACGGCGGCTGGCTCGACTGCGTCCCGGCCGCCCGCGGGGGCGACGACTCCCCGTGGGACATGAGGCTGTAGCGCCGGGAGCCCTTCCGCGCCTCCTCCCCGCTTTGGGCCTTGCGCCTGCGCGGGGCGGGGCGCCCGCCTGCCTGCCTGCCTGCCTGCCTGCCTGAGCGGATGTGGCGGCGGGCGTTGCGCGCGGGGCCTCCGAGGCGGGCCCGATCCCAGGCGGCCGGGCGCTGCTGCTGGAGCTGCGGGGCCCCGCTGAGGGGGGCGGGGGCGGCGGGCCCCGGCTTTTGCCCCTCGTGCAGCGCCTTGCAGCCGCCGGAGCCCCGCGCGGACCTCTTCGGGGTGCTGGGCTGGTGAGGGGCGCCCGGGGCGGGCGGGGCGGGCGGCGGGCGGCGGGCGGAGCGGCTCCCGTTGACGCTCCTTCCTCCCCGCAGCCCGCGCGGCTTCTCCCTGGACTTGGCCCGGCTCCGGCAGCGGTTCCTGGCCCTGCAGCGCTCGCTGCACCCGGACCGCTTCAGCCGCCGAGCGCAGGTGGGAGCCGGTCGGAGGAGCCCCGCTGGGCTGGGTTGGGAGGCCCCGAGGCCCTTGACCCCGCGACGGGGCGGGCGCCGTGACCCCCCTCCGTGCCTTGCAGGCCGAGCGCGGCTTCTCGGAGCAGCACGCCGCCCTGGTCAACCTGGCTTACGGCACCCTCCGCAGCCCGCTCAGCCGCGGCCTCTACCTGGTAAGGCGGCGGGACGGGGTGGCGGGAACGGGGGCGGCGGGGTCCATCCTGAACCGCGGCCTCTGCTCCCTGCCAGCTGGAGCTGCGCGGAGTCGAGTTGGCGGCGGGCAGCGATGCGGAGGCCGAGCCCGGCTTCCTCGCCGAGGTCCTGGAGCTGAACGAGCAGCTGGCGGCCGCGGACTCCGAAGCGAGCCTGGCTGGGCTGGAGCGCCTTCTGGCAGGTCGGTGGGAGCCTCTGCGGCCTCGGGTGGCGGGAGGGGAGGGGAGGTTTCTCTGAGCTTTCCTGCGTGGGGCCCGAAGGCTGCGGGGCTTCCTCCTCCTCCTCCTCTTCTCTCTTCCAGCAAAGCAAGAAGCTCTGGTGCAGGAGGTGAGCAGGGCCTTCGAGCAAGGTAGGAGGAGACCAGGTGGGCGGGAGCGTTGGTTGGTCTGGCTGCAGGCAGGCAGGGGGCAGGCAGCTCAATCCCACTCTTGGCCCTCCACACAGCCACGCAGGTTCCTTAGCAACAGCTATTTCTCCGCTTTCCTTCCTCGGGTTTTTCCCCAACTTCCCAGCGTAGTACACGGGCCTGGGGATTTTGGCATCTGTGCTAACTTTTTAAAGCTTGTTCTGGTCTTGTAATTTCAGATGACCTTCACAAGGCCAAAAGACTATTGGGCAAAATGAAATACTTTGCGAACCTAGAGGAGAAGGTGAAGGAAAAGAAAACCCCTTCTTGATCCCTCACTCTGTTTAGGACAATCTGTGATGCAGTTTGGCTTGTCGCTTCCTTGACACCAAGGAGCCATTTGGAGACTGAGGGGGGCGGGCCGGTAGCAACCTGGTTCTCTGCTTGTGGGCCAGAAAGAGAAACGGCCTGTGAGGGAGACCACAAATCAAAATAAAGGCGCTCTGGGGATCCATTTCAGTTTGTGTGTATGAAAGGGGCTTGGCCAAGATGGCACCTACTTGCATCTCTCTTGGTGGAAGCAGGCCGACCATGCTTGGAGAGCTGTTACTGCTCTGCAGGGTGGTAGGCATGAGGCCAGGGAAGGGGGGCTTTTTGTCCTACCCTTAGCCCTGCAGCTGGGAGTCTAGGGCATGCTAGGGTGGATTCACAGAGGTTGCCAGGACTAAAGGGGCATGTGGCCGCTTGCCCAAAACTGTTTCTCGTAGTCACATGTGCCCTGATTGCCATTTGAGTGACCAAGCCCTGGAGCCACACCAGGGCTGAAGACTGGCTTTGCTCAAGGGCTACCAACAAGATGTGGGGTCCCCTCCTACTGGCAGTGGGGTTCTCACAACTCTGATAATTTTTCTGTGTTGTGCATATTTATAAGCCTCTATTTCCTTCACATTTCCTAATTAAAATGCTGTGAGTTTTCATTCTGCCCAGAGAACTACCCAAGATCTTCCCATATTATAATATGTATGGCATCCTAACACGTATTCTCCAGTGTGAGCCTTTCCCTCTTGATTTTCTCTCCCAACTGTCCCTGTTTCTAGCATGCTCCTACTGTGTGCAACAAGCTTGATCGGTGAATGGTGTCTTGGAGGCCAACTGCCATGTCGACCCTGCCAACTTCACTCTCAGCAGCTCTTCCCGCATCCATCCCCTTGATGGCATGGCTCAGCTCTGTTCTAAATGTGAAGAGAGGAGCCAGATGAGAAGCAGTCCTTTATTGAGCAGGCCCTGCTCTCTAGAGGGGTGGGGGGTGGGATGGATAAGCTCGATGCACAGACTCCCCTGCCTTCCACCAGGGTCTGCTGGGCAGTTGGTGGGCTCCGAAGGGTGCAGCCCCTCTGGACCAGCTCCCAGAGAGCCTCTTGGGGTGGCGTCTTCATTGCCCAAATCCAAACCAGCTCTTAGACCTCTAGGCAAAGCTGCTCTCTCTCCTGTGATTCTTCGTCCAGCTCTTTGGCTCTCCTGAAGTTGAGCTTGTGAAATTCTCTCTTAATTTCTAGAAAGGTTTTGTTTCTTGTCTCAGGAATAACACAGAAAACGAAAGTGGCCACTGCGCTGCATTCTAGCAAAAACACAATGAAGCAGTACTGCTTCAGGCCCTTCTGAAAAAAACAAAAAAGTAAAATGTGAATGACCAGGAAAAGCTGCAATGACTCCCATACCCATAACCTCAGGACAAGTTGGACTAGTGTCAACTGTAGTCTTTGGCTATAGCCAACCAAGCCTCCTGTCCTGGTCCAAACATCACCTCAAGCTGTATGGAGGAGGGAATGTCATTGAAGGCACACCAGGCAGCAGCGGGCATTCCTATTTCTGCAGTTGTATTTCACAAATTATGTTTTCGTTAACCTGCTTGTCAAAGTTCCATACTGAAATTAAGAACGGCTTCTAACCGAGCAGAAGGGAGACTTGGCTCTCCCACAACCAAAACCTTTCTGGTCAGAGATGCCCACCAATGGCATGATTTCTGCCATAGCCTTTTTCGAGCCTCTTTCAGCTGCCACCTTACTATGCTTCCTTGCGCTTCGCCGCTATGCAGTGACAGACTGCCATGAACTGAGGGGAGGGGGAAGGGAAGAATGCTTGGGGAAATGAAAGTGTTGCCTCAAGGTCACCCAGCTGGAAGGAGAGGTCCACTTACCAAACTATGCTTGGACTGACTGTTACGAAAACATCTTGTCTGAACCAGATTGGTTGCACTGGGGTGGGCAATGAGAGACAGTTAAAGGAGAGAAAAGTAGGGATTTTGGCACGAAATTTTCAGTTCTGGCTTTGCACTACTACAATAAACTTGATCTTTAATAACCTATATCCCTTTCCCAACAAATGGAGCGAGGATCATTTTTATTTAGAGGTTTAAGTTGTGGCAGGTCTGAGACTTTCCTTGAAAGAGATGAGGGCCAAAGCAGATTCTTTTTCTCAGGTGTCAAGCTTCAATTCACTTCATGCCTGACTTTGGAGAGGAAATGTTTGTAGGCTGAATAATATTTAAACTTGGGCCACCGCTTGATCAAAAATCTAAACTTCTCCACAAAGTATAGAGTCATAGAATCATAGGGCTGGAAGGAACTTTGGAGGTCTTTCGTCCAACCTCCTGCCCTCGTGTGTCATTTCTGTATACCTTCAGAGGAAATGACAAGTCCACTCGGTCAATCCCTTGTGCCCCTTGGAAGCTTCAGCTGGGGATGAAGTCAACCACAAGTGATCAAAATAATTCAGAGCATAAGGATGGAACCAGAGTTTCATGAAACTACCAACGTACCACAATAAAGGGGAAGAGCATGCCAACAGCGAAGAAGCTCAGCCAGCTCACTGATCCTGCAATGGTGTAAGCAGCAGGGCGTGAGGACTGCATGAACAATTCGGTCGTCAAAATGTTTGTCACGCCACCTGAAGGAAGGGGCCCTTGTTAGACAGAGGGAGTAGACATTGCAAAGGACGTAGGCCAGTTCAACCTTCTGTCAGGCATGGTGGGACATAAAGCAGAAAGCTAACAGATTATGACTTTGTCTGTTGGGGGAAGTTGGCTTCAGGTCTATGCAGAAAGATGGATGAAGCTCATGTTTTATTCCAGAGCAGAGTAAAGAATTTCAGTAGCTCCCATCTTGGGCTCCTTGTCAGAAAATTTTTTGAATGGAGGTGTCTGAAGACACCTTGTGTAAATCTATCTGTCCAGTGAGCACCTTGGAAAGTAATTCCCTACCCACCTCTTAATCGCTTAGGCAAGCATGCAAAGCAAATATTACAGTCAGAGCGGCATAAATGAATGTATGCAGTACCTCCAGGTCTTAGTTGGTGATTCTAAGGTTATATAAGAGAGACGTGTTATCCAGGCTGGAAAAAAAAACCCAAGCAAGAAGAGCTCCTGGTTTGGTCTCCCCCAAGTTAGGCCTCCTCAGCCTCTACAGGGCCCTGCAGCCTTGCATGTGTGAATTTCACTGTAATCATAAAAGAACAATACCTGGTCCAAGGCCAAAGCTCAAGATGAAGGCAAATATGCAAGCCATGCTCAGGTATGGTGCCCATGCATAAACCTAAGGAGAAAGCATAGGGCAACAGGTTATATATTTCCTAACTAGTGGGAAAAGTCTGTGAGCCAAGCGGGGGGGGGGGGGGGGGATGGCATGGCTGGTACTATGCAGGTGGTAGGTAATGGTCAGCGTTTACAGCCACTGCTGCAAAAAGTCCTGCAGGTGGGTGCAGTGAGCAATGGGTATGCTCACCCCCTGAGCTGGAAACAGGGAGGTTCCCCAATTACCTGGTAGGTCAGGGAGATGGTCAGGATGATGCACCAAAGCATCATAAGGCAGTAGCCTCCCAAGATCAAAGCTCTCCTCCCCAGTGATTCAACTAGCGAGCCCTGCAGGAGGAGGAGAGTAAAGCCACTTGTTCACTCAGTGAGCAAACAATCCCTTTGTGGCCACACAGAAACCCTGAATTCTACTACTTACACAGGTGAGGGCAGTGAGGCATTCACACATCCCTGTACCTAAAGTTACATAGGGGATCTTCTCGGGGGGAATCCCTGTCTCTGCAAAGACGTAACTGGAATAAAAGTAAATCTGAGAGAAAGTACAAAAAAATGAGGAAGGGAAGACATTTCGCTTGCCAACAGGGTCGCCAGCAGGGAACAGCTCTGTCCCACGTCCACAGAAACAGTTTTGGATTGCAGCTCGCCACAAAGTCCAAAGACTAAACTGCATGGCCACAGTTCTGCCTTTGAACTGCTGCCAATGCTCAGGAAGGGATCCAACTCCCGCACCTGCTATGTGTCCCCTGTTATCTTGGGCAGAGGTGCTTGGAGAGCAGCAGCTGCATGGAAGAGCTGAGCACCCATTCCCATCCTGCTTTTGGGAGGGAAGCTGTGGGGGAATCTGGCTGCAGCAGGAGCTGGGTGGTGGCTCCTGCCAAAGGGTGCCCTGGCACTCACTGCGTTGATCCCACTGAGCTGCTGGCCCATGGTCAGACAGATGATTGCGATCAGCTGCCAGCGGATGCTACGGTCAGCAAAGAGCTCCCAGGGCTTTTTTGCCTTCTCCCCTCCGAGGGCAAAGTTCTCTCTCTGGATGTCCTCCAGCTCCTTCTGGTAGTGCAGAGGACCGTGGAAGCGCTTCAGTGCTGGGAGAAAAACAGGGTTCAGCCTCGGGATGGAGATCCAGGCCCACCTGAGGCCACTTGGGTGTGGCTCTACTGAAGTGATGGGGACTGATTTGCTCAGAGCTCCTCCACCCCTAGTTTGTCCTGTAGACATGGGCGAGATTTGGGAGCATTTCTTTCTGGCTAAGGAGCTGCTGGCTTGGAGTTGCTCCCCAACCTGAAAGATGTGCCCAGTTCCATCTTGGAAGTTTGGGAGGCATGGCTGCCAAAGGCCGCAGCCCACTCTACCTTTGATGCCCTTGGCCTCGTCCCCTCGGTCTAGTAATGTGAAACGGGGACTCTCTGGAAAGCAGGGAAGGCTCAGGAGTTGGATTATAGCAGGCAGGCCACAGCTCGAGAGGAGGAAAGGCCAGTGTTCCTCTCCCCCCAGCAGCTCCCTGTGGGAAGCAGCACAAAGGCAGCTCTTCAGGACCCGAGGCAGCCAGCGGTTCCCTACACTGGGGCGCCAGTGACCCAGAGTTCGACACTCACCTTAGACCCATCACTTGCCCGGTCAAAATCCCTCCCGTCAGGAAGATGGAACTGCCCATCACCATGGCCCCTCGAAGGTGTCTGGGGGCAGCTTCACCTATATAGAGAGGCTGCACACAGAGTCCAATGCCTGAAAAAAGAAGAGGGTCTCAGGAGCAGTTTTCCCACATACATTTCCGAAAGGACCTGTAGCGGAGAGGCTGCCACTGACGGAAGGAAAGCATCACTGTCCTCAATGAACTGCACACCTGGTACAGGTTGGTCTTTCACATGAAGCACCCAATTCATTAATTATGGGTGGATCTTGGATGCAGTTTTCTGGAGACAAAATCCAATGCTTTACCTGTATTCATTCCGATCAGAAACCTCCCAACGATCAGCAGTTCGAAGAGCCCCGTTGGGGAGCTGGCCCCCATCAGGATAGCAGCAAAGAGGGCAAGGAGGTTATTCACCAGCAGAGTTCCTTTCCTGCCAAAGGAGAAGGGAGTCAGAAGAGCTGAGTCACAGAAGGGAACCCAGGAGACCCCGGAACAGGCTGTGAGAAGGTCAGAAAAAGCAGCCGGCGACTCGGGGTTTTCAAGTAGAGAATGTTTCCTCCCTGCCTGGGCTGGTGCATGGCTGCCACTTGATCAGGCTCACCACCCCTCCAGCCACAGCATGGAACCCATCCCTGCAATGTCTCTTCCCTACTCTGATGGGGCAGTTCCCAGGGAATGTCAAGTCAGGCCAGGCCCTCGCTCTTTGGCAAAGACAACGGACAGTCCAGGGCCTGTCCGCTTCCCTCAACTCTTTAGAGGAGGAGGAATTGCCCAAGAGCAAAGGTAGCACGCCTCTAGGAATGATTATGCTCACCTGCCCAGCCAGCCAGCCATGATGCCCCCAAGGTGAGCCCCAAAGAACCCACCTAGGGAAAAAATAGAAGCAATGGTGGACCAGAGAAGAGTCAGTGTGCTGGAACTCAGCTTGGTCTGGTAACGGCTCTGCCAGGTATCATTGAGGAACTTGTGGATGTGCTGAAAACCCAAAAGGAGAATAATGTGGGGGATGGTACCGATGGTGCTTCCTACTTCCCATCGCCAGTATTGGGATAAGGCTGCCTGGGACACACATACCCTCAATCAAGCAGAGGAGCACGACACTTTTGTCAGAAACAAGGCTAAATGAGTTGCTAGGAATCCACCTCTTCCCTTTCTTCTCCATCTTGGGCACCTAACCTCTGACATGCCCCACGTGCTGGCTGGGGAATTCTGGGAGTTGGAATCTCCACATTCTATAATGGCCAAGGTTGAGACGCACTGAGCTAGAGATGTCTGCAAACACATTCAGGGAACAGCTGGCACCAAAGGATCTAGCATGCCTTGCGCCCAGTGGCTAGACAATGGCCATGGACTCCTTCCACTTCCTCCAGAGGTCCTGGCTGCAGAGGTCCTCTTTCTGAGGAGACTCCTCACTCCTCTTCCTACTGCCCCGGGGCAGCCTCTGGATTTCAGTGCCAGTTTTGTTAATTATCTGTTTATTAGCCACCTGTCTGAAAACACATAGGGTCTCCTGCTTGAGCGGGGGTCCCATCCAGCTGTATTGGGATTGTTCTCCTGAACTGCAGCTCAGCCTGTCAGTCTCCATCTCAGTGTGACCTATGCATACGCATGTGTTTAGCACATGCTGTTGTCCCTCCACGGTTACTTTTGTTTTAAATTGTCCTAGGAAGCATGAAACACTGCATTAAATCAATCTTGTACAGTTTAATTCGTGAGGGAATCAGCTGAGACAGGAAGAGTCAGCTGCCTTGGCACCAGACCTCTTTGGCCTTGTTGCTCTGATCTTTACTCCAGAGAGGCTTCTCAAGTAGTGCTGGGGCTGGGGGAGGAGGAGGTGTTACTCTGGGACAGGATGGGATCCCACGGTTTGGCATTTCTCCCCAAAATGGTTAGATGAACCAGAATGGGGGACCATAGCAGAAGGGGGGTCAGTTACCCCAATAGTGATTCCTACACAGTATTCCTGACAATGTGGCAGATATTTGCACCCATGTCTCTTGCATCTTATGTGGGTCCTGGCAGCCATTCCACACATCCTGCCTTCATCATCAGGCAATGGACCTTGAGCATTTTCAGCCCAGCTGGACATGGAGCCTTTTTCACATAAATCATGGGCTATGAGAAGTCTGTGCTGGTTCATGCACCCTTTCACCCTGCTTCCTCTGAGTTAGGTAAGCGTGAAGAGAAGAATCTATAGCAGAGCAGCCACAAACAGCCCTTCAAGATGCTTTGGAGGCCTTACCTGAGTGGGGGCACTGATAAGAGAAACATTGTATCCGTACTGAAAGGTCCCTCCAATGCCAGCTGCACACACGGTGCCAAGGAGGGTCCAGGTTGGGAGCTATAGAAAGAGGAAGTCCCAAATGTCATGCTCAAGGAGGGCTGACAACCATGAGCACCCCACTCTGGCTCAAACAAAAGTTGTTTGGGTTTGGCAGAGCACGAGATCGCCAGACCTGTTGGGAGCCGTGGGATGGATAACTGTTTTTTTAAATCTGAGCTACTGTTTCCCCCAGCCTAGGAAAACGCATCAGAAGAAAATCACAGCCTGTGGCTGGACCATCAGTAATAGCCTCAGGTCTGAACTAATAAGTAGAAAGCCAATAAGAAAGTAAGTTCCGGCATCTGTTTTTCTTAATGCAGAGACAATACTTACTCTGCCCCAAAGACCATAAGTACTATTCCTATCCACCTGGAGGCGGATCTGTTTTTTCTGGCAGGGGGCTGGTAAAAGCAACTGAAGAAATACACGACTGAGCTGAAAGAGAGAAAAAGAAAAGAGGTCACCAAGGACATCATTCAGGGCTGTAACAGTTCCTTATAAGAAAATGGGGCGGGGGCATTTCCCTTACAAGACAGAAAGTCAGAGGAGGTTACGCCGGGGAGAAAGGAAGAAATATTCCCAGGATGGAAAAACGGCATACACTGGCTATTCTTCCCTTCTTCAGACTGGAAAACCCATGGGGGACACCCAGGGGAACAAGACCAAGAGAGATCCTCGGATAAAGGGAAGCATTTCTTTGCAGAGCACATGGTTACGCTGGGCTAACGTATCTTTTCTTTTCTGTACACTGAGAGTATTTGCACTAAGACGAATTCCTTGTGTGTCCAATCACACTTGGCCAATAAAGAATTCAATTCAATTCAATATTCTATTCAAGTCTAGTCTATATTCTAGTAGTCCTTATTCTATTCTATTCTAACGGTGGTGCAAAGTGGGATGGCATGTATCTAGGTCTCAAAGAGAAGCTCAGCTCTTAGACTGTCTGTGCGCATCCAATGATGAAGGTGCTAGAAATCGGGAGAGCCATCTCATCTTAGCCGTGAAAAACGGCTGGGTGATATTGGCACAGTCCCTCTCTCTCTCAGCCCCAGCCCACCCCACAGGGTTGTTGTGCTGGGGAAATGAGAAGGATTAGGTATGTTCATTGCCTTGAGTTACCTACCAAGTCATAAAGACGAGGTAAAAATCAGATAAAGGGACAGAGCGGGCAGCTTTGATCGAGTCCACCCCACCGCCCTCCTAAAAGCCCCCAGCCTCGGTTGGGACCTGGCTGCGGGTCGCCCGAAGCACCAATGCTGCGGCCGCAGGTCGGCGCCGGTGCCTGGGAACGGGGCTGGAAGCTCCCGGAGACCCGCAGCCAAAGGGGACGGAGCTCCTCGGGCCGCTCGGAAAGCAACTAAGCGCTGTCCCGCCGAAGAGCAGCGCGGGTCTCGCCGCCCCCCCTTCACCTGGCGCCCGGGACTCCTGCGGGCTCCGGACCAGCGGACCAATGGCTGCCGCTCCATGCTCAACCTCCGAGCGGCCGGGCTGAACACGGCCAGCCAAGGGACCAGCGCGCTTTATACCGCACCCCCAACCCCATCACACCCACCCGCCGCCTCCCGGCCCGCGCAGCGCCTACGACTCCCGGCAAGCCTCGCGCGCGCATCCGTCACCTGTCGGCGTCTGCGGCGCGGCTGGGTCACGTGCCCGTGCCCGAGCCCGCCTGGCGGCCTGGCGGCGGCGCCACCTCTCACAAAACCAAAGCGGAGCGGCCAGCACCGCCATGGCCTCCGGGCCGTTGCCCAGTTCCTGCCCGCCGCCGCTGGCCCCGCGGCCCCGCGCCCGCCGCCTCGCCGCCCTGGGGCCGGCCAGACCTCCGGTCGGCGTGCGAGGCTCGTCGGTCAGCCCGACCAGCGCCCCACTGCGTGCCTGGAGGAAGCACCGGATGGAGGAAGAGCCGGAGGGGTGAGCAGGGCCGGGCCCCAGGCAGGCAGAAAGGCAGGCGGGGTGTCCGCCGCGGTGCCGGATGCCAGCCTCTTCGCTGTTATCTCCCCAGGTGCCCCCCGGGCAAGAAGGCGGCGGCGGCGGGGTGGCTGTGCTGCGCAGGGGCGCCTCCCGGCCCGCCGGAAGTGCCCTGCGAGGAAATGGAGCAGGTCGGGCCGGAGCAGCAATGCGAGGCTGCACGTCGGAGGCTGCAGGAGATCGAGGACAGGTGAGCCGCTTGCCCTCCCGCCGTAGAGGTCGCCCTCCACCCGCTTCCCTCTCACGGGGCTTCCTCCTTTCCCCGCCAGGATCACCGAGGAAGAGGAGGAGGAGGAAGAGGAGGAGGGACTTGCAGGTCGGCCCGAGGGCCACCTGCCCATCTTGGTCCTGTCCCACACACTGCAAACCGGTCTGAAGCAAGACTACGAAGGAAACTTGACCAAGAAAATCATTGAGTCCATGTACGTATAGCTTTGGCTCCAACAGGGAAAGTGGGGAATTGAATCCCAACTATCTTAGGAGCTGCCCCCTTGGGTGTGGGAGCACCCCTGCCCTAGAGGAAAGACCCGGAGCAGCCTGGCCAAGGGCTGTTCCCCAGAAATTGATTTTGACTGTAGTGCTTTCTCTCAGGAGCCGTCCATCAATGGAGCTGGTGCTTTGGAAGCCTCTCCCTGAATTTCTCCCTGAAAAAGGAGGTCCGGTTTCTATTAAGGGCTACAAGCCATTGGTCACAGAAATACGCCTTGGAAAGCTAGCAGCCCTGGAAGCTGCCTTTCCCTCACAGACAGACAAATTCCTGACACAGTCTCAGCAAGCAGAAATGCCCTTGGCCCAGTTCGGGGCAGGTGGATCAAATGGGCCTGCAGAAGAAGAGATGGAGCTGTAGAAGAAGGGAACGAAGCAAGCTGATTTATCTTTACTTTCTGGACAAGCAGAGATTGAAAGGTGCTGTTCTACAGGAATCCCCAGGAGCTTAGTTTTAAATCTAGGATGCAGGGAAGGCACTTGGAGCTTCTGAAAATAAGCTGGCTGGTTCTTTGTGTGCACCTTGTCATCTTTTTACACAGTGAGATGCCAAACCTTATGTCCCATCCTTTATGCCCACTAAGCTGGAAGCCTTGTTTTCTTGGAGCACCAATCTAGAATTTGGGTTTTGGTTAAGAAATCTGATTGCTTGTGACAAATATAGCATTCATTTCTGCTTCAGCCTTTCAGAGTTTGAGCCCCTGTATTTCCCTTGTTCTAGCTATTGGCAACATATGTCTGTTCAGGCACGGGGATACAGATCCTTCTTCAACTCAAGATCAGTTGGTGGCACTGACTTGCAGGCTCTATTGTATGAGGAGTGATTTACATTGGCAAAAGGCCTGTGTCCCGCGGTTCCTCTCTTGAGAATTTCAGTGGGCACTAGTAGCACTGAGGGAAATAGATATGGTTGTGGCAACCTAGCTGAGCACAGCTGTTGGTAGATAATATGCCAGTTAAACATCAGACTGCCTAAGCTATCATATTATGCACTTTTTAATTTCTTGTGTGGTCAAGGAGCCAATTGGCAGCCTAGTGCTCTGAAATTCTTACAGCGCCACTGTAAATGAAGATTATTGCAGGAATTTTTATGTATAGGAAATAGTTTTTCTAGGAAAATCTTAAGCTTTACACACTGCCTACAAGAAAGCCAGGAAAGGCAACCTCAGTTAATTTTTTTCCCTGTGAAGGAGGACAGCTGAAAGAAGCTTGTGCATTTTTAGTTCTATTTTCAATTTTCTGCAGATACTTTCTTGGTTCCAAAATGTATTAGCCTTCCTAGCTAATAATTATTTTTAAACTTAACGTGGGGCAGATCTCAGCAAGTCTACTCTGATGTTTACAACTCAATTCTTTATATCGCTACTTTGTGAAATTGCCTCTGCTTTTAAGCAACCTTTTCATTTAGCAAAAGCCTTTGTGCCTCTCTTCTGTTTGTTGAGTAGCAAGCCCATGTCACACTAAAAGCTTGTAATCTTAAATTAAGAGGAGCCAGATAGCCCTTCTGTGTACTGAGATCAGAAACCATCTCTCACAGGGAGAGCACAGCAAGTGCCAAGCAATCACAGGGTGGGAATTGGCTTTGCCTACATCTTGTAAAACCAAGGAATCTATCTGCCTTTATCAGAGCTGTTCATGTTAATGTTGGTTAGATTTTGCTCCGGTGTAAGGAAAAAAGGACATCTGTTCCTTCAACTGCACATAAAGTAACATCCCCAATTGTTGGATTGGCCTTGAAATTACCCACCTCACTCATGGATAAAAAGATCTTTTTGAGTGTATCCAACCAACAGTGTAATTTTTTTTTGAGGGATAGATGGGCACCCGTTTGTGGAACAAGAATTGCCTAAGAGATGGGAATTCTGGGAGTGTTTTTGTTGGATTGTTAATATAGAAACCAGCAACACTGCATTGTGGTCTGCCTGCCATTGGGCCAAATCGCAATTTGTATGTCAATAAACACTTTTTTTAAAAAAATGTAAATGCTGTACATTGCTAACAAATACTAAAGATTTGTCACTACCTTTTACTTTGCTGTAATCAATTCAGCTCTCAGTGGTTTACATAGTTGAAAGCTATTAAGATTACTTTTGGGGTTTCAAAATCCTTTTGACCTCTGTTGGATCTGTTTTGGCACTTTGTGAACTGCCAGGCTTTAGTCTCCTATGTCAGGGAATGTACCTGGTGTCACATTCTTGTAAACATCCAAGATCAATCAACAATATATAACCATTGGTGATAGAGGTAGATTGCTGCCAGGCTCTGGCTTACTGATTTGTTAGCTCGTAGCACAATACTAGTGGCAAAAAGCTCCTTCCAATGAACTGGAATGCTAAATTACTGTCAGATAATGATAGGCAACAAGTCCTTGCCTGATATATGTGGCAGTTGAAGCAACTGAATTGCAAACAAGCAACACTAAGATCATTACATCACTCGGCCTGCACACCATCATGAGGAAGGGGCCTTGAAAAGGTAAGATTGCCAGACACTTTCAGAAAGTTCTGAGGTGATTAAGCATTTTAGTCTTTAGCCAAGGAGTAGTTGTACACAGAGACCTCCTGTGGAAATCCCAAAATGATTTCGGCTAACCCTTCTCCATACCTATAAAGAGAAAATGCCACACAGCCCCCCTTATGCAGGGATGGCAACTTTGCACTGTAGCCTTCTATTGCTCAGCTTGTGGAAGATTTAGCTGGGCGCTTCCTATGGTTCCCTGGTTCAAATGAGAACTTTTCTCCTTGCTTCTGCAATATTTGGTAGCTGCTGCGTCAACCCAGGTCTGTAGCTACCATTCCATCAGTGCAGAATTGAACCACTTCCACTTGTTAAGGACATTCAAGCATACAATTGGGCAGCAACCATCCAGAGAGACAACACAGTATACAGTATCACTCATCAGCTCGTGGCAGGATGACGAGAGAAGAAAATATGTTCTACACAGTTGCTACTTTTGAGTAATGGCTGCCCAAGGTTTAACCTTCCCTAAATTTTGCACGCATCATTGTTTAGATTGCCCTATTTCAAGTAATAGTTTATATGGCTAAGAATGCATGTGTATTTATTTACCTATGGCTAGTTGAACTAGTTTGCCAAATTAAAATGAATGGCAGAGTTTGTGCAGAACCTTAAACGGACCAATACATTTCCCCGTCTTTCTGAATCATCTTCCACTGTTACCTCCCTCCCACTTTAGAACAAAGGAAGGAAAAAGATACGACTTGCTCTGCATTTTAATTACAGCAAGTTTAAATATGCTGCCAGAAAATAACTTTCAAAAAAAGCGGTACATGTATATTTACATAATATCTTGCCCCACCGCCTTTATTTACCCATTGAGGAGAAGCTACTGAGAGGGATTAGCAATTTCTCCTTAAGCAGGATCCCCTTTTTTCCGACAAAGCTGACTCGAGTGGCGGTTTCATTTCTTGGAAGGGCTATGGAACACCTTGATGACATACCAAAAAAAGAAGCAATACTTAGGAATCTGATGAAACACTTTCAAGAGGAATCTTCTTCCAAAACACCTGTCCATCTGAGAGCTGTCCAAAAGCTATCACACACTGATCAGCTGAGGAAAGAGCTCCTTGGCAAAGGCCTCCTCCCAGCTGCAATCT